GGTCCTGGGGGCAGCCCCCCCGCCCCCGCCGGCGTTTCGCCCCCCTCCTCATCCTCGCGCCCGTGTGCGTGTGTGTGTGTGTGTCCCCTCCAGTACTCGCTGATCAAGGACGTGGTCTCGTCCCTCAAGCGGCACCGCATGCACGAGCAACAGTTCACCCACCACCCGCTGCTGGTCCTCAGCAATTTCGGTTTCCAGCAGATCCAGGTCAAGCTGATGGCCAGCATGTTCCAGAACATGTTCCCCTCCATCAACGTCCACAGGGTAAGCGAGGAGGCCAGGGGGTGTCCCCACGCTGCTGGGCTCGGCCCCCGTCCCACCTCCTCCCGTGGCCTTCGGGGTTGGATTTTAGGGCTAGTTCTGTTCAGGGCGTTTATCACCGATCCGGAGGCAGGAGGTGGAATACCAAACTGGGAAGCGCTGTTGACTCTCTCGGGGGACAAGTCGCCTCGCGGAGGGAATCGAGAGAGATTGGAGCGTGGGGCGATGATTAACGGGATGAAATTTAACAAGTCTAAATGCCGGATTCTGCACCCAAGACGGAGTAACAGCGGGCAGAAGGATAAATTGGGAGAGGAGCGGCTGGAGAGCAGCCCCGCAGGAAGGGATTTGGGGGTGCTGGTCGGCAGCGGGCTCGATAGGAGTCGGCGACGAGGGCGAACCGCAGCCCGGGGGGGTGTCAGACGCAGCAGAACCAGCCGGTCGAGAGCGGGGATCGTCGCGCTGTGTCCAGCGTTGGCGCGGCCTCGCCTGGAGTGCCGCGTGCCGTTCCGGGCCCCGCCATTTAAGAAGGTCCTCGGATGCGTCCGGAGGAAGGCAACGGAGCCGGTGACGGGGCTGGAAGGCGTGCGCTCTGAGGGGCGACCTCGTCGCTCTCCGCAGCTTCCCGAAGAGGGGACGCGGAGAGGGAGGTGTCGATCTCTTCTCCCTGGGATCCAGGGACGGGACGCCTGGGAAGGGGTCAAAGCCGCGCCAGGGGAGGGTTCAGACTTGACACGAGGAAGCATTTCTTTACCGGGAGGATGGTCAAACCCTGGAACGGGCTTCCTGGAGAGGTGGTCGATGCCCCGAGCCTGTCGGTGTTTAAGAGGCTTTTGGACAATGCCCTTAATAACAAGCTTTTAATTTTTGGTCAGCCTGGAATCGGTCAGGCGGCTGGACTAGATGATGGTTGTAGGTCCCTTCCCACCGAAATCTCCTTTCCTCTCCTCTCCTCCTTCCGCAGGTCAACGTCAACAGCATCAAGAGGTGTTTGCTCGTCAGCTACGATGCGGAGACGCAGCTCCTCGATTTCAGGCATTAGTGAGTGTCGTGTCCCTGATTTTGGGGCACCCCCTGCACCCCGTGTCCCAGCGCTGACCTCTTCCTCCTCTTCCTCCTCCTCCTCGCAGCAGCGTGAAGGTCGTGCCCGTGGGCGTGAGCAAAGGCCTGAAGAAGCTGCTGCAGGAGAAGTTCCCCAACATGAGCCGCCTGGAAGACATCAGTGAGCTGCTGGTGAAGTACGTTGCCGGGGAGGGGGGGGGAGAAGGTCGTGCCCGTGGGCGTGAGCAAAGGCCTGAAGAAGCTGCTGCAGGAGAAGTTCCCCAACATGAGCCGCCTGGAAGACATCAGTGAGCTGCTGGTGAAGTACGTTGCCGGGGAGGGGGGGGGAGCACCGAGGGGGACGAGGGTCCCGGGGGCACCTTCCCGCCCGTCCCCAAACGCGTTCCTCTCCCCCGGCAGGGACATAAACCTGTCGGAGAGCGAGGCCGAGCAGGACGGGACCCACAATGTCCTGGAGCTGCCGCAGGCATACGCCGGCCGAGGCAATATGAAAGCGCAGCAGAGCGCCGTGCGCCTCACCGAGGTCCGTGACGGCGGTGACGTCGCGGTTGCCATCGCCCCGGGGATGTGATCGAGCCTGACCGGGGCTCTCCGCATCCCCTCCTTCCCATAGATCGGACCCCGCATGACTCTGCAGCTCATCAAGGTGGAGGAGGGCCTGGCGCAGGGCAACGTGCTCTACCACGGCTTCAGTAAGCGCCGCAAAACGCCGTCTCCGGTAACCCGCCGGCGCGGGGGCTCAGGCCGGGGCGTCTCACCCCCCTCTCCCCGTGTGTTTAAGTCCACAAGATGGAGGCGGAGGTGAAGGAGATCCTGGCGCGGAAGGAGGCGAAGCTGCAGCTGAAGGCGGAGCGGCAGCGGAAGCAGGAGGCGGATGTGGAACGCAAGCGGCGGCAGCGTGAGGCTCACAGGTGAGGGCAGCGCGGCAGCGGCGGGGTCCGGCAGCGGCCGGGGTCCGGCAGCGGCCGGGCGGAAGCTGACACCACGGTGACACCGTAGGGAGAGGAGCCTGGCGGGAATCCGGAGGAAACGGCAGCAGGACGGCGACAGCGACGCCGAGGATCCCGGTGCGCCGGAGCAGCAGGATGCGGCCGAGCAGTCAGAGGAGAGCGATAGGTGGGCGAGACAAAGGTGAGTCTGGAGGCTGGAGGG